ACAGAAAAAACAAGACTTACCCTTTAGGTTTTTTTTCACTGAAACGATATTTTTTTCGACAGATTGACTGTACTATAAACCCTGCTTTTGTGTGATAATTTATCTTTATTTTGTTTAAACGCAGTGAGCCATTCCAAATTGTTGGGTGACTTTCACTTCCTGTGGCAGAATCTATTTAAGAGTGTAGGGACACTATGTCTTTTTAATCTTGTGTGCTGTAGATATTTACATCCACCTAGTTTTACGGCTAGTGCATTCTTGTGTCTAGATAATCTCTCTTGATATTTTATATTGTTGTTGGTGATCTCTTCTTTGACGGTTTTTATTTTTAAATCGGGAACGGGTGCTGCCAGCGGAGATGAGTCTGCCCTAACTTCCTTAATATTGAAGTTAATGTTTAGTCACACTGAATATAAATAACACTATTTGTATTTATACTGTATGACACAGCAATCAAAATGCAGGTAAACAATTAATGTATATTTAATTATTATGTAATGAAAAGTGACTTCATGAATCATCTCTGAAGTCATTTTTCAATTTGACGACTCTGTAAATAATGAAACAGGGAGAAAAAAACAGCCCTAGCTGAGTTTCTTGCCGGTTCTTCTCAGTACAGGGTCTCCCGCCGTAGATTTACGAACCGATGGCGTAGCTTCTAGACATTCATATGTGCTTGTAACAGCCTAAACTGAATAAATGATTTTGATTATGATTATGAATCATGATAAATGTATTTGTTGCTTATATAGTGTGGAATATTAAACATTGCTCTCAGTGTTTTCGTTTGGAATCTTTCAGGTATTTTGATATTACTATTGCTGGCTGTACCCCATAGCTGAATGCCGTAGGCCCATTTCGGTTTCAAGATGGCTTTTTATGCTATAATTTTGCTTTCAGGACTCAGCCGTGAGTGCCGACCTATCATCCAGTATTACGCAGCGCTTGGTCTAAGGCTAAGTAGGCTGCTGCTGAATATCAGTGTCGTGGCACATGGTGGCACTGAGCAGTGGTCTGTTTGGTACAAAATCTTTTTACAATACAATAAGTTAAATTTATAATGTGCCAAATAAACGTTTTTATTATTGTTATATTACTTTACAAAACATGTAATATAATAAAAAAAACAGACTCCTAGTATATGGCATCTTCACTCATAATAGCCATTTAATAAAAAAGTCTTACCTAAATACTGTGGCACATTTATAACTCCTATTTGTCTGTGGTATTTTCCATTTTTTTTATTCGTTCAGTATACAACTTTTAAACGAAAAAGTAATACACAATTTTAATATTGTTTTTATAGTATTTCAATTTTTTTATTTCTCTTTTGATGAACGTGAAACCAAGTGAATCGAGACCCACGCCAAGAAAAGAGGGTCAGGCAATAGAGACTATTTTAAATAAATAAAAGTAAATTACGCAGTTTTATATTCAGTTGCTTTCGTGTAGTCCGTGTGTGCTTTTGCCATGTGAGTCTCCTGTCCAAGTGCATGATTGTTATTTCTGGTAATATTCTCTTCAGGTATAAGGATCTAGTAATTTTTTACTTAATCCAATAATATGTAGAACAATAAGTGTTTTACGTCTTAATTGTGTGGCGGAGTGACTGACGCACCGTCTTCATAGGACCAGCTTCGATGCCTAATCGGGTCAGTGTAGAAAAATGCCTCTCCTAAATAGTCTAATCTCTTTATATTTATGTAGTAAAGCTGGTTAAATTTATTTAACATAATATGCGCTTTCCAATTCTAAGGTCCGTATTACAGAATGACAACTGTCGATCTTTACTTGAGTACAGTTAGAAAGGGATGTCACTATATGCTATGTATAGCGACATCCCTTTCTAACTATGCTCAAGACTAGATCAATCACTGAGAATCTTTTTATAATACAGGCCTAAACTGGGTAGCCATTAAATAAACCAATTTCCAACGGTATAGATGCACTGATTTATTTATTTATTGCTGAGGAGCTCGATGGCGCAAGTGGTTAGCGCGATCAGCTGCGATCGTTGAAGTTAAGCAACTTTCGCAGTGGTCGGTCATTGGATGGGTGACCAAAAATTTACTATCTCGAGTTCCTCCGTGCTTCGGAAGGCACGTTAAGCCGTTGGTCCCGGCTGCATCTGCAGTCGTTAGCACCCACCAATCCGCACTTGGCCAGCGTGGTGGGTCATGGCCCAATCTCCCTATTCCATCCATAGGGAAGGCCTGTGCCCCAGCAGTGGGGACATTAATAGGCTGATGATGATTTACTTATTGACGTTTCGTATCCTTCACAGGATAATTCCGACAACGCATCCTGTCAACGCATCCAGGATGCGTTGTCGGAATTATCCTGTAAAGGATACGAAAGGTCAATAAATAAATAAACCTGTGCATCTATAACGTTGGAGCTTGTTTTATTTAATGAGTGGTGTGCGTGTAAACCTAATAAACAAATATGGTTTGCCATTTTAGGATTAGGACAGTGTTAAAAATATAAATGTGAAAGTTTTGTTCAATCCATTGTCTATGTCTGTAGTTCAGGTGGAGCATCAAAACTGTGCTACCCCTTATGTAGATTAACTAGCTTATGCTCGCGGCTTCGCTGGCGTTAGTTTGATTTAGACAAAGGATTATAAATAAACTAGCGGACCCGACAGACGTTGTCCTGTCTACACGTCTTTAATTTGAAAATTTCAAACTTTTTTTAATAAGCTAAAACATTCTGGACCTGTTTGATGAAAATTATTATTCAAATGTTATGACAATATCTAACGATCCCCTTGAACACACACAAAAGATTTCATCAAAATCGGTCCAGTCGGACAAAATTGTGAATCTAAACCATTCTCAGATCCCCTTGAACATACACAAAAAATTTCATCAAAATCGGTCCAGTCGTCTAAGAGAAGTTCAGTGACATACACACTCACAGAAGAATTATATATATAAAGATAAATAAATATTTTCAACACACACACCAATTAGCCTAGCCCCAATGTAAGCACTGTAAGGCTTGTGTTATTGCATGCTACGGTAATGGATAGAATATATATAAGTATATTTATATAGAAATACATATAAAACATCCATGACTGGAGTACAAATGCTCGTATTCATCACACAAACATCTGCTCCCACCGGGATTCGAACCCGGAACCTCTCGAGTAGGCGACACTGTGAAACCCGGCGTAAACCACTCGGCCACGGAGGTCGTCAAACTCGTCGTCAAAATTAACCTCGCGATCTTGATTCTCCATTTTATGCGTTTTGGATTATATATATATATATATATATATATATATATATATATATATATATATATATATATATATATATATATATATATATATATATATATATATATAAAATCTATATATAATTTGACACAATCCATCAATTGAGCTATGCTTTGATAGATCAGTCAGTCAGTAACAGTTACGAATTATATACAGGCCGTTACAGAATTCCGAAATAAAAATTTGTAGGTATCTGAGCGGGGCGCAGGGGCGCCTGGGGGAGAGAGGGGGGTCTGTTTAGGTAGTAGTAATCGTACGCATTTATAGGGTTGTCATAGGCAGGTCATAAAACGATATTTTTATTAATTTCATTAGAAAATAAAAGTGGTCTGAAAGGTGTCAAACTTTCGTAGGTAATTCTATACAAGGAACACAACCAAACCCTAAAGTAAAACTAGTTTTTACGGGTTAATGCACGAAACTTTATTTATTTATTGACGATTATTCTGACGATGCAGACCTGAAAAGGCTGCGAAACGTCAATAAATAAATAAAGTTTCGTGCATTAACCCGTAAAAACTAGTTTTATTTAATGAGTGATGTGCGTGAAAACCTAAGAAACAAAAACCCTAAAGTTTTATTTCGGACTTTTGTCACACCCTGTATACAGAAGATGAAATGACTAAAATTTAGCTAGTTCTCAATTTAATTTATTTATAAGACAATATCTTTTAATAAAAATTGTAAAAGTAATTAAACCAATGTGTTGCTCTGAAAACAAAGATTTTATTTAAGTATGTATGTAGGTTAAAACATTTATTATTCACTACACTTTCTTCTATCTACTATAAATCATACTAACTTACCTGAAAACAAAGAAACGACATTTAAAGTCTTTTACTTAATAGAACAATTCCTTCCTTTACAATAATATTTTAAAATAATCAAATAAAAATATCACTGCTCGTTCTGTCAAAGCGACACCATCTGTCAAGTGACAGTTTTATTATTATGGTCGCCCGAGAGCTACACAGACTACTTAAGAAATAACAAATCAAAGAACTGACGGTAAAGACACGGTAATATTATCTATACAGTATTGTGACTCCGCCCTGTCCTTAAAAATAAATGCCTACGGCCGAGCGCTGCGTTAGCACGCGGTAGGGCCGCCAGCCTACAGTATTTTATGTAGTTTTGTTTTTAACGCGAGTGTAGGTAGATTACTCGTTTGTCTCTTTTTTCATCCTAACCACTTATTTATATATTATTTCAGATATTTTGCAGGATGGAAAAACCGAAATACCAAAATATTAGAAACAAATTACGTATGAGTAGATAGGTATATAAAAAATATTCTATAAAGGTAAGACACCTTTCCAATATTTCAGGTAATTTAAAAAATGATATTTCTGGGTGTGTTATTGAAGAGTTCAAGCAACCAAAAACAGCAATTGTGCTATAGTACGATATTGATCGTCGTTTGTTCTTTTCCATACTAAATTATGTAGGTATCTACTTAATTAAATCAAATATTTACAATACAAAACGCACGTTTAAGCACGGCTAACTGCATAAAAAACAATTCAGACCGTTCGGTCGTCGTTGCGGCGCGGCGGCGCATTCGTGACTGGGTGCCCGCCGAGAGCCCATCGAACTCGAGTGGCGTAGGTATGACTCGCTTTCCGACCGTTTGTATGAAGATAGAATACTGTATGATATTATTACCGTGGTAAAGAGGTTCTTTACATATTTAATAACTGAATGTAATAGATACCTGCGCGGGCGCAAGGTCTCCGGCGGCCGCCGCCAGGGTAGTCAGCGCCGACAGCCACAACGCCGCCACGCAGCAACGCATCTGCAACAAACACATCGATATATGAATAACATATCTCCACCAGATCCTCATCAATCTTTCTCTCTTCCAAAATAGCCGTTAATCAAAATAATTTAATAGTAAATAAGGACAAAACAAAATATATTTAGTTTGTAAAAAAATGTGTGTGTCAGCTCCGACGCACGACTGGAGTTTACTCCTTAAGTTCGATAGTCTAACCAGACGCAAAAAGAGTTTATTTAACTTAAAGAAGATTGATACTGTATAGTATCTTGTCATTACATAAAATTGATAACTTGCATTTAGTACCCCGTTTGTTGGAGTTTACTCCTTAAGAATCGATTTGCATATATAAGGGCCCCGGTATGAGAAAAATATGAGGAGTAAAATCTATCGATGAATGACCTCGTTACGTTTTTACTGTCTACGCTGTAGCAGCCGTAGTGCTACACCGTAGCACAGTATCGTAGCGTACCTTTATTTATGCACATCTGAAATTGACTATTGTAAAAAGTTTAATGTAAAATATTTCGTCGATTAGTTATAATAAATATATATGAAATGAATAAATATATATTTATATACGTATATTATTTTCATTAATTTGTTAATTTACCCTTTCATACAGTATCAATCTTTTTTAAGTTAAATAAACTCTTTTTGCGTCTGGTTAGACTATCGAACTTAAGGAGTAAACTCCAGTCGTGCGTCGGAGCTGACACACACAATTTTTTTTATTAGTTCTGTCGTAATGAATAAGTGGGCGGCTGGTAATTTTAGCGTATTATTAAGTACCGAAGTCATCCGCAGATTTAACGTACTGGTGCGAGAGATAAATTAGAGCCAATGATTATGTTAAATTAATAAACAAGCTGTTGATATAATGAACAATTTCTCAGCTAAACCATCATAAGAGGCCGCTAAAGTTGTTATTAATTTTGCAATATGTACGCAGTGAATAGATCAAAATTACCAAACATTATAATGCGACTTCATAAAAACTAAACCACTAAAAGTATTTTTATAAGTCCGAGCAATTTCAAAACTTCAAATAGCAATTTAATTCTTATAAAAAGCTCGTTGAAACGATACATCACATTATATAATTATTTAATCTTCAATCAGATCATTACAATTTTTTATTAGGAATATACAAAAAGATTTTTAATTAGAAACCAATGCCTTTATATGGCTTCTGCCGATCAATTCCTTGACCCCCCCCCCCCCCCTCAGCCCTTCTGCCTCTCGCAGCCCAATCCCAAATACATCCCTGAACGTAGGTGTATTTAATTAAGAAAATATTAACACTTGAATTAAATTAATTTAATTGGTAATAGAGGTAATGTTAACAAAAATTACATTATTACCTTATATAACACTTTGTGTTCTGTAAATATAAATAGAATAGTTATGTTTACTTTTCTATATAGTAAGAGTCTCGAATGAAGAAAATAATATTAGGTATAGGCTAAATTTCACATTAAGAACCATGTCTTAGTATAGTGGTCAAATACAACATTTAATTCATTTGCGTCAAATTGGCAAGCTTTTGTAGCTTGACAAATGAGTGCCCCATGAATTGAATGATTGTCAGCATGAAGTACGCGTCGAATCGACCCTTGCACTGCTCAACAGGCACATAAACGAATTCATATTTAATCGCATTGTTATTTGCGACGAAAAATGGATTCTGTTCGAAAATCACAAGTGCTCAGCAAGTTGGTTAGATCCTGTTGGCACCACAATTCCCCAAACGAAAACTGACTACTGAAAAGTGATGGTCACTGTTTGGTGGTCCAGTGCCGACGTCATTCATCACAGCTTCTTACCAAACGGGACGAGAGTTACTTCAGATGTGTACTGTGAAGAACTGAACACAATGATGGAGAAGCTCACACATCTCTGCTGCTCCTGCACGAGAACGCGTGACCTCATACTGCACAGCAGACGGTCTCCAAGTTACAAGAGCTGGGGTTCGAAAGTTCTCCTTAGCAGGGAAAAAATTCAATAACCGAGAGGAGGTTCAAAATGCCTTTGAAGAATTTGCTACCTCCCGTCCAGCAGACTTTATCAAAAAGGGCTAAGCGACTGCATAGATAATTAAATAACTTTGATTAATAGAAATAAAAATATAGAAAAAAATGGGTGCGTGTACTTATGTAGGCGCGTGAGAAGTTATCCTTCTTTGGCATCGTTTAGTTAGTAGTATAGTTTTTAATTGTATGCAAATAATTAATTACATTAAATTAATAAAAAGTCTGGAAAAGGACACAGTCAATAAAGTTCAGTTTTAATTTGAAAAAATAAATAAATAATCAAAATATTCAATTAAAATCGCTACTGAATATAATTTATTAGAACATATGTGATTTGCACTTGTATGAAACTCAAACACGTATTCCGAATATACAAACTAGAAACATGTGGATAAATATTATAAATATGAATACCTATAACTGTTACTTTATTACAAAAAATAAAGATGTGGTTTTTGGTTCTACTACACCAATGGTCAAGAGATGGCGCTGTAGTCTCCTGAATCGCGCTTTGGTTCCGTTGTTCCAGATTAATAAATACTTTTGATAGGCCTTCACAATGCAGTCGTTAGCACCCACAAAATAGAGATTCTATTTCTATTTTGTTGGTAGATTTTCTTAATGTGCGGTAAACACAAAAGTAATTAATTGTTTGTGTTACAGTGATGCGCGCGCATCTTAAAATTTCACTCTCATCATTTTTTCATAACGCGCCTAAAGAAGTATAACTTCAAAAATATAGGTAAAGACCTAATATTATTATGAATACACCTACGCTCGGCTGCGAGGGGCGACAGAAGATATATATTAAACTGGTGTTATGGGATTCCGGGACAATAAGGTCTAACTACTGGACAAGGGACAAGACTCAAAATTCTTGGTAAATCAGGGGTTTCCTGGCCATTTGGCAAGCCTCAAGAATTTGAACATTACTCAGGTCTGCGTCCCCTTGAAGATGTGAAAAAATTAAACTTCTAAGTTAACGAAAAAATTATTGGGATACGTCGTGCCCGACTATATTGCCCAATTTAGCACTCCAGTTTCAGATTTCGTCAAAATATTAATACGTGAATTTAATACAATTATTATTAAACCTGTAATAATATTTAGGCCACAAAAATGTCACTGTGTAAGCAGATCACTTTAAAGTTAAGTTTTAATTACGAACTCTCGACGTTTTAATTATGAAAACAAATAGAATCTCAAGTATTTGATGTAAGTATTTTGGTGGAAGGAAAATGTTGAGGCGAGTTGCTTAAGAGTTAGTAATTTATTTAATTATTGTGTTTTTCATTATCGGTTGCTACTCGCAACGGGATTCCCGGACGCAGAGATTACTAAATATATTATTGAAAAGATTTTCCTGAAATCGAACAAGTACAACAAAAGAATCGGCTCATACATATCCCTCACCTGCGGAAGCTTTGGGATTTGGAATTAGGCACTAAGTAATTTACTAAGTAATAATTGAGGAGCTCGACGGCGCAGGTGGCCAGCGCGTTCGGCTGCGATCGTTGAAGTTAAGCAACTTTCGCAGTGGTCGGTCATTGGATGGGTGACCAAAAATTTACTATCTCGAGCTCCTCCGTGCTTCGGAAGGCACGTTAAGCCGTTGGTCCCGGCTGCATTTGCAGTCGTTAGCACACACCAATCCGCACTGGGCCCGCGTGGTGGGTCATGGCCCAATCTCCCATCCATAGGGAAGGCCTGTGCGCCAGCAGTGGGGACATTAATAGGCTGATGATGATGATGATGACTAAGTAATTTAAAGTTTTTAAAACTGACATTGAAAAGGAACGCAGGGCATTGGCAGTTGGCACATAGGTTTGCACGCTGCACAGCTGATGTTAAATTGACACATTTTAAAGCATTTAAAAAAAAATTGTGTGTGTCAGCTCCGACGCACGACTGGAGTTTACTCCTTAAGTTCGATAGTCTAACCAGACGCAAAAAGAGTTTATTTAACTTAAAAAAGATTGATACTGTATGAAAGGGTAAATTAACAAATTAATGAAAATAATATACATATATAAATATATATTTATTCATTTCATATACATTTATTATAAATAATCGACGAAATATTTTACATTAAACTTTTTGCAATAGTCAATTTCAGATGTGCATAAATAAAGGTACGCTACGATACTGTGCTACGGTGTAGCACTACGGCTGCTACAGCGTAGACAGTAAAAACGTAGCGAGGTCATTCATCGATAGATTTTACTCCTCACATTTTTCTCATACCGGGCCCCTTATATATGCAAATCGATTCTTAAGGAGTAAACTCCAAAAAAAAATTTAAAATTTAAAGTTTTACCTTAATTTTAGCGCATTTTTAGTACCAAATCAACATAACGCAAGTGGGGCATAAGCACAACAAGGCATCTCATATCTGTCACGCGTAAATTGACGCTACGGTTACGGACATTGCAGCATTCTCAATTTTTCACGCAGTTTCAAGCAGAATTTATACGCGACTAGCAACATAGTACTTTTTTGAAGTGAAACTTCTTTATCGGCGTTGGAAAAAAATTTACCGTCACATTTTTCGGTTACGCGTCACATTTTTCCGTTACGCGCCATCTTTTTTTTATATTAATAGTTGATAGCTGATCACACTGTCGCCGGCGAGAACTCTCTCTACTCGTTTGTAGCTGAGTGACAATAGTTATTAAAGATAAGACTCGCTCAGCCAAACTCGCATAGCGATACTCGCTCAGCGGTACTCGCTCAGCGGTACTCGCTCAGCGATACTCGCTCAGCGGTACTCGCTCAGCGATACTCGCCCAGCGATACTCGCTCAGCGATTCTCGCTCAGCGATACTCGCCCAGCGATACTCGCTCAGCGATTCTCGCTCAGCGAAACTCGCTCAGCGATACTCGCTCAGCGATACTCGCTCAGCGATACTAGCTCAGCGATACTCGCTCAGCTATACTCGCTCGGTTAAGCTGGCTTGGCTGTCAAAAGCCGTGCGCGTGCAT